ATAAGGGAAGCCGAGCTCAGGCTCCAAATGGTGCGAGTTGCACAACACTTGCTCATTCTCTCATTGGCATTGTGGTTCCGCAGTGGCCCAAGAAATTAGAAGAAATTAACATGCACTTATCTTTTCGTGTTTTGTAATCGATGTGATCTTGGAGACCATGGCAGCTGGTGTGCCATTTTTGTAAATGTTTCTATAGGTGAGCCACCTCTTGGCCTCCAATCATTGATGGATGTGATCTCGGAGACCTGGTGTTCCAAAATCATTCAAAGATCCAATTAGGTTTACGTTCAGTGAGTATTTAACGGTGGTGATTAACGCCACCTTCCAATTAGTCTTGTCATCACCAAGTCAGCGCCAAATCAGCAAATAAAAAAAAAAGCTACTTTTGTTTTACCATATGTACGAATACCACTTTATAAGTTATACTTTATATAATATATTATAAAGAGTATATTATTATATATAGTACAATTTAACTTTACCTTTTGATTGAAATTAAAATAAAATTTAAATGCAAAATAAATTCACTTTAAAACAATGCAACAAAAAATAAAATATGTATACTAAACATGCTACTCAAACAAAATTATAAGGAAGAACAAATTATATAATATTAATTATGGGTTATTAGGGTTAGTATATCAATAGATTCTCAAAATTTCTCCAAATCGAAAATTTCGAACACTAGTTGAGTAGAATTCGATCGAATTGAACAACTTTAATTAATATATATGTGTGTGTGTATATATATATATATATTTATATGTACTAGAAAATGGACACGTGCAATGCACGTAAATAAAAATCTATATTAGATAAATAATTGTATTTTATATATTATTTTATCTCAAAATAAAATAAAATTGACTTTAATTTTGAATCTTCTAAACCAAAAAATGAAAGAAGAAAATATTTTTATTATGGAATACTGACTAACTAATAATATTTTTTAATCACAATGACTCCTTTTAGCAGAAAAATTATTTTTAATTGGTATTTAATTTTTTTTGGTTGATTTTTACCGAATGGTGATGCGACTTTTTCTAATTTCTCCTTTGTTGATATTTATGTTAATCTTGTTATTTACTTCATGATCATTTAGTTTTAAGTCTTTTGTAAAAGGTTGTATCATTTACATGAATGTTCGTGTCTTTCAATAATTGATGTGTTGTTTCGGATTAAACTTATTAATAACAATAATGTAAATTTAAAATCTCTTTAATTATTTTTTATTAACTTATTTAAGTTAATATTTAATTAATCAAATTGTATACAAATAGAAAATAATTTAACTAGAATTATTATTAATTTTTTGAGTGATAACTATTAATATAAAGAATTTAAAAAAGTCACATAACTATTAACATGATTTATATGAGGGTCTTAACCATCTTTTTGTCTAATTATTAAAATATTAGAAGTGTTTTGCATTAAGGAGATGACTTTTAAAAGGTGTGTTTGTTGTTAAGATTGTAACTCATTAAATAGTTTAGTTTTATATATATATAAGTTATGTAAACAATCAATAATAAATAACTTAAAAAATAAAACTTTGAAGTGACAAAGAGAGTCGGTATATGATTATCGATACATGAGAAAGAAAAAAAAAATGCATAATTTTTTTTTGATCAGTATAGTGAAAAAAATACATAGAAATTTATAGTGAAAAAAGTTCAGTATCTAAAATATGATCATAGACATCATAAAAAGCCCATAGCATGAATTCCAAGGTCTTAAATATAAATATCAAATGCCCAAAGCTTTAGAAGAGAAGAAATTTTTTTATTTAACCAAGAAGTTTTCCTTGGTTTGTCTGTGTTGATGTCACTAAACCGTAGCTAATAAAGAAAAATTCAGAACACATTATAATAAAGAAATAATGGATTACTAAAGAAAACATACATATCTAAAAATAGTGTTTATCAATAACTATGTAAAATCTTAATATTGCATAGTATAATTATCATGTATCACCACTTTTATAAATAGTACTTATTATGTATAGTTTGAAGAATGCATTAATACGGAGGTCTACCACATAAATGATGCAAGGAACATGTACAACATGTCAATTGGGACAAATGAGTACCAAGTGTGACTTAGCTAAAAAAAAAGTTGGATGGAAATTATTATTATTATTATTAGTATCACAAAATAATTAGAAAAATGGGAACCCACCTCCCCTTACCATATTCCATGAATTCAAAAATTTAGTATAACATCATACATTGAATACACAACTCATCACAAAATAAATTGAATTTTCAAAAGTTTTTTTTTTTTCTCTTTCTACGTAGTCCATTCAGTGTTTGACTATTTTATCAATGTTTTAATTATAATTTTAGTTATTTTATATGTGTTTTTTGTTATTTGGTAGGTCGTTTATAAAATTGATCAATTATGAACACCCAAATAATGAGTTAGTGACCTTTTTCAATTGAAACACTTATTTTAATTGTGTTTTTATGACAATTATCACTCTGAAAATAATGTAAATGGAACAGTTACATTTTAAATTAAAACACTTCTTGTACGATACTTCAAAATAAAAAATATATATATAAAAAATTACAAATAATTAGAAACACTAAAATTATATCATAATCATAAATTGTTATCTATAAATAAAAAATCACAACATTGACTCTATCTACTATTGGCAGTGTTGTCAACTTATTGACAAGCAACAACAAAAATGTATATACATAGAAAGATAGAGATAGTTTTATAAAGAAACTCTTTCATGTAATAATTAGAATATATTGAATAAAAGTTATATGTAAAAGAAACTCTAAAATATTTCAATAATAATGTGATATAAAAGAAAATATAAATAAATATAAAAAATACAGACAAACATAAAAAGTTTTTAGAAGAGAGAAGAATTGTAACCTAAATATATAATTTATTTAAGAAGTATAGTGCACTTATAATGTTGGCCTGAAAATGGAAAAAAGTTTTTGCAGAGAAAAAGATAACATGAAAGAATTTTTTTTCCTTGAGATCATATAACTCATAGGTATATATTTAGCGGCAGACAACCTTTCATAATAGACGTCTCTTTTAAATATAAAAGTATAAAGGGTTTTTGCAGAGAAGAAGATAACATGAAATCATGTTACTCATATGTATATATAAGTGGCAGACAACCTTTCATAATAGACGTCTCTTTTAAATACAAAAGTAGAATGGCATCTTAACTGTTGATGCCTTTTAGAAAAATGAAATGTTGACTCTTTAGGGAAAAAAAAAAAAAAAAAAGAAAGAAAACAAAAACAGTGTGTAAAAAGGAAACGTGGCATATAATATTTTAGTAAATTAAAAAATATATATTTTAAAATGTTTATAAAAAATTAAAATTGAATACACTTGTATACGGTATATAGATATAGATATATAGATATATAATAGCACATGAGAGTTACTATTAGTGTGATTTACAAAGACCCAACTAACCATTGCTACATATTACAAGCATCTGTTCATGGATTACTGTTAGCAATGCTTCACGATATGCACATATATGAATGTAGATGTCTGTAAATGAATATACATGTATATATATTCTTATATGTATACAAAATCACAAATGTAATTTTAATAATAAAATTAAGCCATCAACGTACCTGCATCCTTATAACCAATTCTATTCTTCTTAGAGTTTTTTTTTTTTTTTTTTCATTATTCTTCTTAGAGTTCTCATGGGTAATTTTAACTAAAATAATAATGTCATGTAATACATACATCTACAAACATGATTTTATAACTTAATCAATTTATCTTATTTAACTACAAACATGCTAAATTGCTAATTACAGCTAAAAAAATATCAGAATACTACTTGCATGATAGGTTTGCTAATTTCCTTGATCACCTTTAGTCCTCTCTTAAGACCATTAACATTAGAGTCTGTACTCTGTAAACAACCCTCTATATATAGTTTCAATATGCATGAAGTTATCCAATTCAGATTACAATTCTAGTCAATGTAGAATTCTCCTATTTAGTTAGAATTAGATTTTTATTTCAATAATAATGTAATATAGAAGTAAATATAAATAAATATAAAAAAGACAGAGAGACATAAAAAGTTTTTAGAGGAGAGAAGAATTGTAATATAAATATATAATTTATTTAAGAACTATAGTGCACTTACAATGTTGGCCTGAAAATGAAAAAAAGTTTTTGCAGAGAAGAAGATAACATGAAAGATTTTTTTTTTTCTTCTGATCATATAACTCATAAGTATATATAAGCGGCAAACAACCTTTCATAATAAACTTCTCTTTTAAATATAAAAGTAGAAAGGCATTTTAACTTTTGATGCCTTTTAGAAAAAGGAAATGTTGACTCTTTAGGAAAAAAGAAGAAACAAAAACAGTGTAAAAAGGAAACGTGGCGTATAATATTTTTGTAAATTAAAAATATATATATTTTAAAATGTATATAAAAAATTAAAATTGAATACACTTTTATAAGGTATACAGATATCTGCATCTTTTTTCTATAGTTATTCTTCTGTTTTGAGTCGTTTTCTTGGGTTCTTATTATTTTTTTTTTTTTAGAATTTTCATTCTTTAATATTATTATTATTATTTTTAAGGGTATTCAAATTTCAACCAACTGAGAAAGTTAATTCATTAAATAATAATAAAAATTTAGTAAATATGTATGTACATATTAAAAATTTAATAAATAAGACATTAACATTTTTATTCCTCACTAACCAATCTAATTGAGAGAGTAACCGAAAGGATTTTTTTTCGTGTAAATTTGGGATGCAATCCTACTTAATTAGGAATCCCTTATAAAACAAGTTCATGAATGGTTTCACGTCAGCTCTCATTCAATCAAACAAGAGAATCGTCCAGAAGCTTCCAGATAATTCTAGCTAATTTGACCGCTAACTTCTCCTCATTTCCGGATGCGTCCCTCTCTCATTCCTACTTGGAGCGCTATTGCTATACCCCATCTATAAATACACATCGCCAATACATTGCTCTTCATTCTTTGCTTGTTCTCTCGTTCGATTCAAACTTTCTCTCTTCTTCAAAAGAAAACAACCCCCTCTCTCTCCTATCAAGGTAGAGAATTCGTTGAATTACATTTCAGCATCTGTTTATTACAAGTTTTTGTTACAGATCTGTTGTATAATCGTTATATATTTTTTGTTCTTCTTTCTAATTGCAGATGCAGATCTTCGTCAAAACCCTAACTGGAAAGACGATCACGCTCGAGGTAGAAAGCTCTGATACGATCGATAACGTGAAAGCTAAGATCCAAGACAAGGAAGGAATTCCTCCTGATCAACAGCGTCTGATTTTCGCCGGAAAACAGCTCGAGGACGGCCGGACTCTCGCCGACTACAACATCCAGAAGGAGTCGACTCTCCATCTGGTTCTCAGGCTTCGTGGAGGTATGCAGATCTTCGTCAAAACCCTAACTGGTAAGACCATCACGCTCGAGGTCGAGAGCTCAGACACAATCGACAACGTGAAAGCTAAGATCCAAGACAAGGAAGGAATTCCTCCCGATCAGCAGAGGTTGATCTTTGCTGGTAAGCAGCTCGAGGATGGGCGAACTCTTGCTGATTACAACATACAGAAGGAGTCAACCCTTCACCTTGTCCTTCGTCTCCGTGGTGGTGATTTCTGAAATCCCTGCATTTAGTTATTGGCTTGTGCTTCTGCTTGTTATGGTTCCAAGACATTGAAATATGTGGTTTCTTCAGTAAGTAAATAGTTTCTATATGTTCTATAGTTTCTTACCGCTTTTGGGTTCTAAACATTTCGACTCTTCTTTCAATTCGAAGAATTGAATAAAATCATGTCGTGTTTGGTATATATACAATGTGTGGTTTGGTTTATATGTGTTTTGGTTTCTATATATATATATAATTTTTGGGTTTTTGTTATGGATGCAAATTGGAATATTTTTGGAGGATATTTGAAGATTTATATTTTGTGAAGTGATTTTGTTGTGGAGGTGAAATGTGGCATGGTGTTGAAGGAGGTAATTGTCCGAGATTTATGGTGATGATATTGAACTATGTGTTCAACCCTTGGGATTAGTTTAGGGAAATGATAAAGCATAAGTTCCATATTTTCATCATGGCACCATTCCCTACTCACATGAATACATCATCCGGCTTATCCAAAGGTTGCATCGTGGAATACAAGTAGCTGGAAGTAGCAGTGACCCAGTAGCAGCTTTCTCTCCGGTTTTATCTCTTGAAATTCAGAGAAAGAATACAAATTAAAAAACATATTCGATAATTTATTGATAAGTATTACATTCAATTTATAGAACATGATTAGTTATAATAGGTAACTAATTACCTACCGATTCAATTTATTACCTACCGATTAGCCCTAAATTAAAGAGTAAATAATTCAATCATATAGCTATACTATAGCTATAAGAGATAAAGTAAATAATTCAATCTAACAGCTGTACTATAAGAGATAAAATCTTAACACTCCCCCTTAAGTTGGTGCATAGATGTCACACATACCCAACTTGTCTAAAATTTTTGAAAACACTTGATTTGAGACTGTTTTGGTGAGAATGTCAGCTAGTTGATCCTCAGATCGAATCTTAGACAATTCCACAATTTTCCCATCCAAATTCTCCTTAATGAAGAATCTGTCTATTTCAACATGCTGATTTATTGTCAGAACAGAGTTGACTAGGTTGCCCAAGTAGATAACCCAAATCCCGCAATAGAAGTCTTAACCACAATGTTTCACATAGGGCAACCGCCATCCCTCTGAATTCAACTTTTGCACTTGAGCGAGCCACAACATTTTGTTTCTTGCTTCTCCATGTAACAAGATTACCTCCTATAAAAGTAAAATAACTAGAAGTAAATCGCATATTCCAGCCCAGTCAGCATCAGTATATGCAGCTATGTTTTGATATCCAGCATGTTTAGTAAACAAAATTCCTTTTCTAGGAGTAGATTTCAAATACCTCAAAATGCACATAACTGCATTCATATGTTGCTCTTCAGGATCATGCATAAATTGTCTAACAATGCTCAATGCATAAGCCAGATCCGGTCTTATGTGTGCTAAGTACATCAATCTTCCTATAAGTCTTTGGTATCTTCCTTTATTAGCAAGTACTTGGTTGGACTTAACACATAACTTCAGTCATTCTTCCACTGGTGTCTCAGCTAGTTGACATGCTGTCGTGCCAGTCTCTTTTAATATATCTAAGGCATATTTTTTTTGAGATAGAAAGATTCCTTTATTAGATCGAGATACTTCAATCCCAAGAAAATATCTCAGAAAACTTAGATTTTTCATTTCAAATTCTCTGGACAAGTACTTCTTAAGAGCCTTCATTTTTTCAAGATCATTCCCTGTAACCACCATGTCATCTACATATACAATGAGTGCAGTGATCTTACCCTGTTATTTCTTTAGAAATAACGTGTGGTCTGAATTACTCTGACGGTAGCCAAAGGCTATCATAGACTTTGTAAATCTTCTAAACCATGCTCTTGGAGATTGTTTCAACCCATATAATGATTTTTTTAACCTGTAGACCTTCTGATTATACTTTTCAGGTATCATGCATCCTGGTGGGAGATCCATGTAGACTTCTTCAGATAATTCACCATGCAAAAAGGCATTCTTCACATCGAATTGTTACAATGGCCAATCTAAGTTCGCAGCTAAAGACAACAAGACACGAACTGCATTTATTTTGGCTACAGGTGCGAACGTCTCTATGTAATCGATTTCGTAGGTTTGGGTGTAACCTTTTGCCACCAATCTTGCTTTAAAGAGTTCAACTTTACCATCTGTTTTATACTTCATAGTGTAAATCCATCGACATCTAACTGGTTTCTTTCCTGGTAGAGGATCAATGAGTTCCCAAGTTTCATTTTTCTGCAAGGATTTTATCTCCTTGTTCATAGCTACTTTCCACCTAGGGTCAGCTAAGGCTTCCTGCATACTGTTAGGAATAGATACAGTAGATAATTGATTTATAAATGACAAATTTGATTCTGACAAATGATGGTTCAACACATAATTGCTCATGGGATACGTAACTTTACTAGAAAGTTCGGGTTCATATGTGGGTTTAGGAATACCTCTAGTGTGACGCGATGATAATTGTTTTCTGAGTGGCTCAGATACTAAATCAGGAACATCCTCAACAAGCGATTGGTTTGATATATCAGTTGCGAGGGACTTGAACTCGGACGACGATGGGGTTAGCGTCATACTTTCCATTTCTGGGCGTTTATCACCACTTTGATTCAAACTTATACCACTCGAATCCAATTTTCCTGATTCCTAATTGGTTGGTCTAACTTGTGAGTCATTAACATTAGAATCGCCGTCCTCAAAAATGTGATAATCATAATCTAGAGTCTGAATTTCATTCTGGTACTCCCTTTGAAGTTCAGACGCAAAGGAAAAATACATCGAGTCTTCATGAAAGACAACATCCATTGTTATAAACATTCGTCGAGTGGGAGGGTGATAACAGCGATAACCCTTTTGATGAGTAGCATATCCAAGAAAAACACATCATAATACTCGAGGAGTTAGCTTATTGCGTTGATGCTTATGGAGATGTACAAAAACTACACAACCAAAGACATGAGGAGGTAGATTTGAGACGGTTGGGACAATAACTGCATCAATGAGAGCCTGCAATGGAGTTTAGAAGGCAATAGAGCTAGAAGGTACTCGATTGATGAGATATGTTACAGAGGTAAGTGCTTCTCCCCAAGACGATAATGGCATATGCGCTTCTATCAATGAAGCACGAACAACCTCCAACAAGTGTCAATTTTTTCGCTCTGCAACCTCGTTCTGCTGGGGTGTATTGGAACAAGTGGTTTGATGAATAGCTCCATGTGCTTCCAAATATTGCTGAAGGGCAAAACTCTGATATTCTCCACCATTGTCACTACGGAGAACCTAAACATGTGCATTGTATTGAGTTTTAACCATTTTATGAAACTTCTGAAACAATAAGTTCACTTCACCTTTGGACTTTATCAAGCACAACGAGGTCATCTTGGTTCAATCATCAATAAAAGTAACAAACCAACGGGATCCACCTAAAGTAGTGACTGTGGACGGACTCCATACATCAGAATGTATAAGCATAAAATGAAGTGGACTTTTATGCAAACATAATGGATACGAAACATGGTAGTTCTTTAATAGTTCACAAACATAATAGAGGAAACTAGAAACATCACAGTTTGCAAACAAACTTAGAAATAATTTTTTCAAATAACCAAAGGAAGCATGTCCCAGACGTTGATACCATAGCCAGATTTCAGATTGTTTTCTCTCCCCCTCAGAACCATCCACTGTCAATGCTTGTCGGAACTTTTGGACATCAAGTCCAAATAATACAGTTTCCCGCGCTTAATACCACAATCAATCATCTACTTTGTTTGGATGTCCTTAAACACACAAAAATCAGGCCAAAAAATGATAACACAAGATAAAGCTGTAGTTATTTGGGAAACGGACAAAAGATTAGAATCTAAAGATGGAACAACTAAAACAGAATTTAAATACAGATTATCAGTGAGTGTCAAAGATCTTTCCCCAATAACTGGGGCCGAAGTCCCATTAGCAGTAGAAACAAATTTGTGTGAGGATGAATTAAGAGGTAAGACCTGTCTAGAATTAAATGTCATATGATATGTGGCACCAGAATCAATTATCCATGTACTATTAGCAACATGTGTAGAAATATTGAAATTCTTACCACCAGTATTTGTTGTCTTAATAACTGCTGCAGTGGAGGTCTTTGTTAAATTCTTCTTCCAACGCCGATGATCCCACCATACCGGATATCCCACAAGTTTGAAACAACGGCTTTTGGTATGACTAGTCTAGTTGCAATGAGTGCATTTGTAGGTAGACTTGTCTGCTCTAGATGATTCAATATTTTTTTCAATCATTTTTTTTTTTTTTTTTTGTGAACTGGTTTATCACAGAACCAGTTTTCAAATGAGGTTACAAAACTGGTGTAGTTTTGACCTAATCCTGAACTAGAATAGGATTATACTTGTGGCCAAATAGAGGGTTTTGATTTTTGATTTTATTTTATTTTATGAATATGATAATATATATATATATATATATATATATATATATATATGTATGATATATATCAGAAGAACAAAAAAAAATAAACAAATCAGAAGGCGTTGCGGATCTCAAACCGGTGGTAGAGCTCGGCTGTGAGCTTCGGGCGAGGAAGACGACCGGCAATGTGGCGATGGCCGGTCGGCAAGAGATCGGCGCTGCAAGTCCAAATCCGGTTCAGATCAGTGACTTCAGAAAGCAGATCCGGTTCGGTTAACCATCTCCCTTGTCGTCGTCGCTGGTTATGGCTAGAGTAGACTCGTGACGCTGTAAGGAGCAGCTTGATCTGGCGACACGATGATAAAGAAGATTCGGCTTGAGATGGCAGTGGCTCTTGATGGCAGCGGCTTGTGATGGCAGCAGCTGCGGCTTGTGATGGGAGATTCTGGGTTGTAGTCTCTGGGTTGGTAGATTGGTGAAAGGGAATTTCTGGGTTTGTAATTTCTGGGTTGGTAGATTGGTGAAAGGAATGACTATATATGTGTATGGGTAAGTATGGGTCTTTGAATTTCTGTATGTATATGGGTATGTATGGGTCTGATACCATCTTGAAATTCAGAGAAAGAATACAAAAATTAAAAAATCATATTCGATAATTCATTGATAAGTATTATATCTAATTTATAAAACAAAATTAGCTATAATAGGTAACTAATTACCTACCGATTAGCCTTAAATCAAGGAGTAAATAATTCAATCATACAGCTATACTATAAGAGAGAAAGTAAATAATTCAATTCTACAGT